CCCCTCCCCAGTCCTCTGGCCTCTCTTGGATTAGCTGACCTAGTAACACCAGCTCACTTCCCTTTAAGAAGTGCTTCCTATACCCCAAAATCTTGTGTTACAATGTAGTCAAACAAGAGGCTGACTGTGTATTTTGAAGAAAACATTCTTTACTGAAAAAATAACTCGTCACAGAGCTCTTTTAAACAGTGAGCTCCCACCACACCATTAGAGTATAATTCAACTTATATACAATGTTTCAGGAATAAAGACTACTTTGTGCAGCTAGAGACAACAGTGGAAAATAACCATGTTAGCTACATGTCACACCTCTTCTAAGTGGTTTACTCTATTCACCCATTTAATCCCCACTTCACTTTGCGGTAGATAACCATCAGCATTCACATTCTATGAAAGCGCAAGCAGAGGCATGGAGAGGATAAGCTGCTTGCTCAAGGACACACGATGGCAAAATAGGAAAGCCACGATTTAAACCCAGGCAGTCTGACTCCAGAAGGAGCAATCAGACATCATGCAATATTAGCTGTCTTTCATGGGGTATTTTGCCCTGGCAGAGAAAGTAGACACTAATCATAGAGGTGTACCAACCCCAGTATCACATCCAAGCCAGCTGCCTCTGCTGCAGTCCAAACTCCAGCAGGCCACGTTGGTGCGAGGTGAAGGGAGATTATCATCATTAATCATGAGACTGACAAGGGTGTGACATCAAGGCTGAGGTTCTGGGGAAGGCCTCTGAACATGAGACATTTCCCAGTCTCATGCTAGTCGGCTGTTTCCACCTGCTGATATATATAACTGCTGAAGCGAGGAGAACTGACTGATGGGGTTCCAAAGAGGGAGAGGTGGAATCTGGAAGCAGGGGCAAGACAGCATTCCTTGAAGTTCACAGAAACAACATCTGGGGACCACGTGCCCAGGACCTTTTGGACTGGGCTATGCACACTTTAAAGATGCTTAGGATGCAAATGCACGGAGCACGGGAAATGTTGCTCCATCTCCCTGCAAACCCTCATGCTGTCTTTATCTAAAAGATCAGCATGAAAATGTTCACCTGAAACCTGTCCCCAGAGGCAAAAACCCACAAGAATAATAGTTTGCAATGAGTAAAGACTAAACCCATGAGAAAGAAAGGTGCCCAAGACACCTGGAGAAATCAAATGTCAAAGCTGATTCCCCCGGGACCTGTAGGAATGAGGGCAGGCCAAGAAGTACTGGCTCCTAACTGCAATTTCTGCAGTGAGCAGCACCCTCCCAAAATGTAGCCCAATTTTGGGAGGGTGCTGGTAACAGTACCAAATAAAGGGATAAAGGGAAACCGATAACAGTACCAAAAACAAAAACAAAACGCATTGCCATGAGTCGATTCCAACTCATGGCGACCTCATGTTACAGAGTAGAACTGCTCCATGTGGTATTCTTGGCTGAGATCACCAGGCCCTTCTTCCACTGTGCTGTTGGGTGGGTTAGAAACTGCCAACCCTTAGGGTAGTAGATGACAGCAAACCATTTGCACCACCTAGTGACCTGTCTGATAATAGTACCAGCCCCAAGTAATTCCTTCACCTTGCCTTACTCTGCCTTACTCATTGTGTGTACAATGCTTGCCTTAATTTCCAACAGCAAGCAAGCGTGCAGCCATCCTATGGAAGTGGAGATTCAGTTAAAGAAAGCAGTAAGAAGCTGCTGAGCCACACCAGCAGTACAGCCCCCAGAACAGACATTTCACTGAGTCTATTTGTTTCAGACAGGAAATTTCCCTCTGGAGACTGTTTTATTTCTTATGTCAAACAATTATGTCTCACTCCCACCAAACCGCAGAGGCTAGAATTACAACTATACAGTATTTCCAAAATCAAACCCTGGGAGAAGGCAGTCTCCGCTCTTTCCCAGAACTCACAACATTTCTTTTCAGCTGTTCGGAGATTCGGGGTTTTGGTTTCATGGCTGCTGTTCTGTTCTGAGGAAGATGTAAAATCCGCAGACATGGCAAGCTCTTCAGATGTCTGGAAGGGACAAAAGGAACATAAGGGAGGGAAGGAAGGAGACATTCCTCAGAACGCTCAGCCAGAACTCAGCAGGACTGCCTTGTTTTATCTGAGTTTTCCTTCTCTGACAGGCTTCCACCTTACACAGGTTCCGGCTCTTGCAGGTTTTACTGTATTAAGTGAAAGAACCCAGTCAAGAGTCAAGTCAGTCCTCTTTCTCTCACTTAATAGTTACGTGTCTTTGGCTAAGACATGATCTCCCTAACCCTGTGCTTCCTCAGCTATAAAGAGTTGCTTTAGACCCTTGCATTTATATGCTGATTTAGGAGTTAACTGTCACATAAATTATCTCCTTCAACCATTCCAATAATGCTATAACAAGGCCGATTTTGCTTCCATTACATCTGCCCATTTTACATATTGAAAAACTGAGTTAACTAACATTAAGTGGCTTGTCCATGTTCCTTCATGACGCCAGATTTCAAAGTTTTAATAATCTGAGAGAGTACTCGGGACTGGGGAGGAACAGATCGAGTTCATTATTAAGAAAGTAATTCCAGCTCAATGGTAGGACTCAGCTCTGAAAAAAAATTAAATGAGCGAAGCGGGGAAAAAAAAATCTCAAAGCTGTTCCCTACAGCAAAAACTGTAACAGGATGCTGAGGCAGCCCTAGCACCTCACCATTTCTCCTCTGGTGTTCTCACTCTGAAGCCCTGCTCTGCACCCTGTCCACATCTATCCCCTGAGATACACTCTATAAAAAGACCACTGGGGCCTTGACGGCGCAGTGGTTAAGAACGCGACTGCTAACCAAAAGGCTGGCAGTTCGAATCCACGAGCCGCTCCGTGGAAACCCTAGGGCGCAGTTCTACCCTGTCCTATAGGGTCGCTGTGAGTAGGACTCGACTTGACAGCAACGGGTTTGAAGGTGCAAAGAGGTGGTAAATGACTTCCCCAAGGTCACCTGCAGATAAGGAGTAAATCCTGGCTCGAACTGAGGCGAGAGACGCCCCGGTCCATCCGAGCCCCAAGCTCACTCCCCAAACCCAGACAACAAAGGGGCTCGTGAGGACGGAAGGTCCTATTGCTTCAAGGACCTTGCACTGTTCCTCCACTGACCGCACAAATCCTCAACCCAAACACCAGCTGCGGCTCCCAGTCCCTGCACGTCCGCCCACCTGGCAATGCCCCGGGGACGAAACTTCCCGAAACGGCGAGGTACCAACGCCCCGCACCTCATCCCGCCCGTCCAGTCCCTTCCAGGCACTGCGCAGCTGCCGCTCACCCTAGGATCCCTCCTAAGATCCCTCGCGGCCGTAGCCCCGGCTCTTCCCGGAGTAATGAGGCCGACCGGAGCCGACGGACTGCCCCGGGGCCGGCTACGAAAGCCTGGCAAATCACGTGCCTCTGCCTGGCCCCGCCCACCCTCGCGTAGCTCCTCACCTGGAGCGAATCATCGACCAATCGTGAACCTGCAGCTCCAGGGGGCGGGGCTCAAAGCTGAATCCTTGAAGCTAGCTCCTGAAGGAGATGGAACCATGAAGGGGAAAGATCACAAGTTCCCAAGTTTCCTACCACTGTAGTGGTTGGTTGCATCGTTGCCCAGTAACTAATACGGCTGGGGGCGGAGTTACTAAAAAGCATTACTTTTTTTTTTTTTCCAAACTCTCGCGAGAGGAGACTGTTAAGTTGCTGTCTAGGGAGGATGTGATCGGTAGGTGCTGGGAGAACGTTGCAAAGATTAACGCTTTCATCCCTGAATCCCAGCGGGACCTCTTTGGACCGATACATTGGAACGTAAGTTTAGAAGATGCTTTACTAGGTAAGCGAACACTGTACTAGAGCTGATACACCTTAGAGTGTCCCGTTGCTGAATCAGGAGTTTCCTTGGATCTATCCACATACTCCAATGTCTTCTCCTGGCACCATCTCCCACGCACACTAGATCATCTATTATGGTCAGCTTGAAGAACCAAGGAGGAATTCAGTGCTTCAACAGAAAACTGGGCCATGAAAAGTGTGAAAGATGCAAACGTTTCATCTAACTTATTCAGCGGTGGAGGCTTTTACAGAGGGGATGAGTTTGCAAATTCCAAGTGAACGACACTGTTCATAGTTGCCTGGGTCCGTGTGATGCTTCATTTTATTGATAAATGCCACTGTAGGCAGGGTGAGACTGGCAGCTCTGGATCGGGGAAAAAGAGCAGTGAGTGTTCATTTCTTGGAAAAGAGAGATAATTCAGGGATGTTTTTATTCCTCCTTCACCTGGAAATTAAATTATCCTTCAAAACAGCTCAAATACTATCTCCTCTTTGAAGCTTTTTACAAATCCCAGTGTGTTACAGTTGCCTTCTCTGTGCCTATACAACTCTGTCTGTATCCAGTCAGCAGGTACTTATTGAGCACTTTTTATTTGCTAGGCACAGTCCTAGGTCCTAGGAATACAGAGTTGAAAAACCGGTCCCATAATCGAGCATTATCAGGTTGCTGTGAAATTCAGTGGCTATGTGTCCCTGCCACCCCCCACCCCCCACCCCCCACACCAACTTCAGAGTACTTGTTATATTGAAGGCAGGAATGGGGACTTCTTCCTACTGGTACGCCCAGGGCCCTAAACTGAAGTCCTGACGACACGCGTTAGTCCCCATCCCTCTTCATTCCTCCTCCTTAAACTTCATTCCTCCTTCACCATCTGAATGTAGCAATTGCCCTACGCCCAGATGGTGAGCTCATACTGTGTTTTCTGATGTGGCCAATCAACATTTTCCAGTCCCAATGAGGTAGAAAGGCCAGTTGTCAGCCCCTCAACCTCAGTGAGTCGATGTTTGGTGCAGCGAGTCTAATCACGAGTATCTGATTGTTTTCGACAGGTCCTTTGACTCACTGATCATTCTTAGCATGCCTTTGCGTTCTAAACTATGACTTTGTTTCTCTCAGTGTACTTTGGGTGTAGTTTGGAAGCCATGAGTTAATGATTTCCGACCTAAGTGCAAGGTCACATTCCAATTTATTTGATTCAGGAACTCCTTCCTCCGCCCTCTTCCCTTGAGCATATATGATGCTGACGCGGAGGGCACCTCACTTGCCCTACAGGTAGCAAGACCAGTTGTGCTTTAGAAGTACAGACACATCTTCACCCTTTAGCTCTTGAGAGTAGGGGGTGTGGGGAAGTTAGTTAGTTGTTACTTTAAGAGAACTCAATCCTATTAAAGTGCTAAGGCAGAAGCCGTACCTAAGTGTCGCGAGAATTGTAATCAGTAACAACTTCTCGCGATGTTTGGCTCGACGAAGGGTGGCCATTTTGGAGTTGCCCCGGCGGCTGGTTGCCCCGGCGGCGTCTCCCAACTTGCAGCCTGGACCAAAGCTGGACCCGCAGGTGCCGGGCCTGTGGGCAGCCGGACCGACACGATGTGGCGGCTCCGCTGCAAAGCCAAGGATGGCACCCATGTTTTGCAGGGGTTGTCCAGCCGGACCCGGGTGCGGGAACTCCAGGGCCAAATTGCCGCCATCACCGGGATCGCCCCCGGCGGTCAGCGAATCCTCGTCGGTTACCCGCCGGAGTGCCTGGATCTCAGCAACGAGGATACCATTCTGGAGGACTTGCCCATCCAATCAGGTAAGGGGATCGGGGCTAGGGCCAGTAAAAAACCTGGGAAGGCGGAGAGGGACGTGAGGGTAGAGAAAGGATCAGTTACGGCAGGTGGCTTTGGGTCAACTGGGGGCATTGAGGGCAAGAATGAGGATATATTAATGAACTGAAAACGCCTCCGGAGGCCGGGGCAAGTGTCTAGCACTCCTTGTCTTTACAGATGGTTGAGAAAGACAAAGAGGGCCCAACCCTTGTGAGAAGCCCCAAGCTTTGAAGTCCCCCTTCCCCGTTCTCCTTTCAGGTCTGCTAGAGTTAGCTTTTAAATATCCAGTAGAGTACTTTTCAAGTTCAAACAAGTATTCAAACTTGAACAGCAGCTCTAGTAATTAAAAGCTTTCAACTGTTACATCAAGGATTTTGTAAACAGCGGAGTAAATATGTTTACGTTTCAAGAGACAGAGAACCCCCTAGTGGCTTAGTCTATGGTGAACAGTTTCTGGAAGGTTTGTGCTTTTTAAATGCAGAGAGCAAATACGAAGAAATTTTGGTTTTGAAATGTGTCATTTTAAGTATGTTTAAAGATGTGTAACTCAGGCCCCTTCACTAAATTGGTCAGCGACATGAAGTGTTTTGGTGTTTGCTTTATTTTCACGTTTATGAAGTTTCAGTGAACAAAAAGTGTTAACTGGTATCTTGTGAAGCTGTGTTCTCTTTAGTAACCCCAGTTTATCCTTTAACTCCTTCTGTTTGTGATTTACAGACGACTAGTGAACACTCAGCTTCATCTATATTTTCTCTGCAGTTCTGGATTTCTTTTATTTTTAACAGGTGACATGCTGATCGTTCAAGAAGACCAAACCAGGCACAGAACTTCACCTGCATTTGCAGAATATGGTGCTTCTAGTTACTACAGGGAAACTTCGCCCGTGCTTACCAGAACTGCAGTCCCAGCAGACAACTCTTGCCTCTTTACCAGTGTGTACTATGTTGTTGAAGGGGGAGTCTTGAATCCAGCTTGTGCCCCTGAGATGAGACGCCTCATAGCACAAACTGTAGCCAGTGATCCAGAGTTCTATAGTGAGGCAATACTGGGAAAAACGAACCAAGAGTACTGTGACTGGATCAAAAGGGATGATACTTGGGGAGGAGCTATTGAGATATCAATTTTGTCCAAGTTTTATCAGTGTGAAATCTGTGTAGTGGATACACAGACAGTAAGAATTGATCGTTTTGGGGAAGATGCAGGATATACCAAAAGGGTTCTGCTTATTTATGATGGCATCCACTATGATCCACTTCAGCGTAACTTCCCTGACCCAGACACCCCTCCTCTGACCATTTTCTCTTCTAATGATGATATTGTTCTTGTACAAGCACTGGAATTAGCAGATGAAGCTAGAAGGAAGAGACAGTTTACTGATGTAAACCGCTTCACCCTGAGATGCATGGTGTGTCAGAAGGGATTAACTGGACAAGCGGAAGCAAGGGACCACGCCAAGGAAACAGGCCATACCAACTTTGGAGAAGTGTGAGCTATGCATGATGAGGGTTGAAGCCTACTACCTCACAGATCCAGAAGGCTCTGGGCATTCCAATAAGCTATTTGCGTAACCCGAAAGAACGAACGAACAATGCTTGAACCACCCTTTTAACTTAAAACCACTAAGACACTGAAATTCCTTGTTAAGATTAAACTTAGTGTGCAAGTTTACAGATGTGTGTCTATAGTGGTGATACCCTCTTTCTGCTGGGGTGACAGAATAGGTGGTGCTTGCCACCTACTGACACTAACCTGAAGATTGAGCTTTAGTATTATACACTAGCACCCAGCAGCATTAACTTGTAGAAGAGAACAACGTCACATGTTGGGTAATGCAGGTCTCACATGAGGCCACTGGACATATACCACAGTGTCTCCAGTAATTAAGTCCTTTTAATAACTCTGAATGAGTTAATAGTTTCTAAATTATGAATTGATTTCTCAAAAGAAGATACTCAGAATTGTCAAAATTGATTTTATATTGCAATTTGGTAGACTTTATAAATGTGTACTTCACCCGTTATAAGTACATATCAAGCAATTTTTACAGGGATGGGTCTGTTCCTTAAGAGTGTTACCTAAAAACAGGAACTGTTACTACCCTGTTAAGATTTCTAATGTATAAAAGTAGAATGTATGAGGGAACAGGTGCCTGAAGCAGCTTACTGAAGCTTTAAAAGACCGTTGGCCTCATGTTTTAATGCAGTTTATTTATTGGTCTTTGTTACATTAGATAAAATTTTTTAATTAGGGTATTTTTTTAATTGATGTTACTTGGAATTTGAGTGCTCCATTTTTGCTTTTTTACACGTAAAGATTTGTCTGGAGGGATTTGATTTCCTTGGCTTTTTAAAAATACTTCTCCGACTCCTGGAAAAAAAGTGTTTATCCAAAGTAATAATGCTATGCTTTTTTTAAAAAAATCTTTTGCTTACCTAAGCAGTGTTTGTTTTCATGTTAGCCTTATTCCTCCACTAATGACCTTTCAAATAATTTCACATTTTTGCAAATTAGCACTTTGCTTATCAGCGATCTTTTACTTTGCCTTTTGAAGGGTTTAAAGTAATTGGGATGATGATGTTGATTGACTTAGTTTCACTTCCAAAATATGAAAGTTTTTAAATCCTTGCCTTACTCAGCTTTCTCAGAATTCTGCTTCTTCCTATTACTAGATGTGTAGCCATTTGCTTGGTGGGCTAATCCACAGGGCACACCCTCTAAAATTTAGCTTCACTATGAGCTCTTCCAGATAAAGTGTTCTACCTCTTTTGATAATTCTTCGTAAGATCAGGGATGCTAAATTTAAAATTGTTACGTATTTCTCACGTAATGTGAAGAGGCTTAGTGTTGTGAAATTCTGTTAGCATGGTCTCATTTTTGATTAAGTATCTCGCTTGGAAAACTAATGGTATACTTTAAAGCGTTTATCTCTTTCAGCAGATCTTGGCAAATGTTTCAAAATTAAGATTTAGCACTTTCACCTGGTGAAGGTGGCCATGTAAAATTAGGAAACGTAAACAATTTAGGGAAAAAGTACCTTTAAGGAACAATTTACAAAGTATGCTTGAAATCATCAAATGACATTTCTTGAGTACCTTTGTGCATATAGCTGCTTTAGGCATTGTAAATTATTATGGTCAGTATAACTTAAAAGTGTTTAATTTTCAATTTACTGAGCCTTAAAAACAGCACTTGTCAGTTTACGATACTTAGTGTTTGGCAATCATGTATGTACAAATGAATATGATTGAAAATCTCTTCACACCTGTCTGTCATCTGGTCTAGATAGTTTTTGTATCTTTTATTTCTTCTAGAAAATGTTAAATTTAAAACTGTCAATCAGGTATCACTGGATAGAATGAATCAAATTGAGCTTTATGCATCATTGTTCATAAAACTTGCCTTCCTTTCTTAGTACTTCAAGAGCCAAAGTTGACTTTTTGCTTACTGAAATTTTAGGTCTAGGAGTTTATTCATGCAACAAGTATTTATTGAGTAATTTATAATGTGCCAGTCATGTATCGGTGTATTTCCTAACATACATTTCTGTCACTTTAAAATTGAGTCTATATTTTATCTACAGTGGTTTAATTTAACAAATGGAAAGAAATAGAGTTCTGATGTTTTACGTAATTAAACCCTCCATTTTATGTGTTTTTGTTTACATATTTAAGCTTAATACTTTTATAGCAAGTGTCAATTTATTCCAGAGATCTTATTTTATTGTGTTACCTGTTATTTAGCTTGTCCATTCACAGATTGGACACTGATAATTCAGTCAAATCGCTGTCGATAATGACTTTATTTATTAATCATCTGCTGAAATTCAGCACTAGTCTTTCAGTGTTCTGACCGTGGAATATTCAAAATGAAGCACTATTTGTAGACCACTTGATTTAATTATTGAGAATTAAAAACCAAAATTTGTTTATTCTAAACTCAAGCTTGTGTGCCTCATATAAAGATTTTTTTTTACTGTGCTTATTACACTTCCATGAAATTAGTCATTAATATGAGTAAATGCTAATCCTGAGAACTTTGAAAATCTATGGATTTAGTACTTGCAGCAGGATTAAAAGAAACTGTCTTAAATTTGCACTTGAACAAAATGAAACCCTCCTTCCTTTTCATTTAGTTTTTGACTGCCATATAAGAATATTCTTTTAATTAAAATGAAGACCGTTTACATTAGTGACATAATGAAGAAGACTGTATTTTCCAGCCCCCTCCTTTTCCTTGCTGCTCTTTGGATTTAAAGATTAGGTGTAGTGCTATACAGATAGCCATATGTATGCTGCATCATCAGGATGTTACATCTTAATGGCTAATAGTTGGTTTCTTAATTATTTCCCATGAGTGAGAAATGGGTACAGTCAAGTGGTGGTAGCTTGAAAGCTTGGCTGCTGGTCACCTTGACCTTGTTGGTAAGAACTAATGTAGTCCTGCCACTTGATTATTCCATGAAGTTCAAGTCCCAGCAAAATCATAATCAGGAATGAGTAACATTACATTATCTCTCTATACATGCCCCTAAGTGCCCATGCTTAACTTGCTTATCTTGCTTATTCCTTCTGTCCCAAGTAGGGATTAAAACATGGCTATAGCAAGTTGCCCTAGCTAAGCATAGTTTTCTATGTCTTTTTGAAAAAAAAATATTGAGCAGTATGCAAGATTAAGTAACAGAGTGATATTTTTTCTTTACGAATCAGGTGGCCTTCCTAACTTTCATATATAATTAATAATCATGTTCTTTCATGTATTGAGACACACATTTGTTGTTATTGGTAGCACTTTAAAAAGTATGAAAAAGTTTACATGTTTGCCCTCTCTAGGGATCTTGCTAAGGACATTAAAATAAAATTCTTGAGCTGCTAACAATTCAGCTCTTAATCGTCTCTGGCCACCAGTGTATCCACTGGCACAGCATTCTGGTGTTTTGGTAATGGTAGAACTCAATTTCAGTAACTTTTAGGAGCATGCTCTGTGCCCAGCATTCAAAATGTTGCTTCTTATTATAATGTGATCGTCATCTATCATTTATTACACAGTGCAGTATTCAAATTTGTTCTTGTAGCACAAAGACAACTATAACAACTTCTAGAAGATTAGATTTCTTAAAACTTCCTTTACTTCTAAGCAAACTTATTTTAAGGGGACCAGTTTTTTTAGTCAGAGGCCTGGAAAGTAACATATACAGGTGGCATAATTTTGAAGACTAGAGGGAAACACTTACTGATTTGAATAAGCTAGTTTATTAACTAAAGCTTTCTTATTAAGAGTTATAATATTGCAGCACATTTCATCCAACTTAAAAAGAATGTAAAACTTCTCCAATTCTGCAAAGGTGTTCTATTTTTCCTCCTCCAAAAATTAGCTGACATTTGTTTACGGTGCTTTGAACATTTGCTTTAGGAAAAAAAATATTACACTGATACTGAATATTTAGGGTGCTGATTTGGGTCTTGATTCATAAAGATTTAAAGATTAATAACCCTGCCATGATATTTTTGGATCAAAGGGAGGGAAGGGCAGGAGGGTAAAATACCACTAAAAAAGAAGAGACTCTCAAATGGATGCATTTCTGGTCATGAATTAGGTTTTTCAGAAAAATTTTCAAGCACTGCCTTTGTGTCACCTCAACCCTTCTCCCCTATTTCTTGGCATAGAATGTAGCAGGGCGGTAAGTGAATAAGCTTGTTATTAAAGTATAAAACCATGAATATAAGCATTTTGCTATGGTGTCTTTTTATCCTTAGGTTTTAAAAATAAAAACTTACACCTAGGAGTTTAGGGATAGTGAACGTATGATTTGGTTACGTTGTAGGGTAAATAGACAAGGTTAACTTAAGAAAGGTTTAGAATTTCTAAGATTACATGACCTTGACTTTATAACTGGTATAGGACAGGTAGGTGTAGCCTACAGTTACTTAAAGGAACAGGAGACCTAAGTTCTTGTCAGTTTTCCAGTTCACCTTGGTGCCATACAGGATTCAGGCTGTTTACAGGAAATATATACTTAGTAAAGAGTAAATTTTTGTCCTTTAAAAATGTGAATTAAGCTAAAAATACAGAATAAATACGTATAGTTTGTCAAAGAAGATAGAGAATGACATAGTCATGTAATTCCTGTGTTAATGCAGTAGAGACGGAGATTCCTGAAGCAAGAAGAAAACCACAAGTAAAGACTCAAATTTAGAGCTTGGGAACAGAACTTGAAAAAGTAGGCAAGGGCAAAACAGAACATAGTTCTGCTTTTCTTGGCATAGAAAATATTTTTTCTTAATGAAGATGGAAAGTGTTTTTTTGTCTTAAAAATGTTACTTTATCTATTTGCCAGCATTTTTTGTAAGTTAATACCCTGCTGCTACCTGGGAGATGTCTAATTTCATTTTGTACAACTCTTATGTGATTTTGCCATTGTCATTAAGATGCACTGATTTTATTTATGAGGTGTATGATTTTAAATGTCTAAATGCTGTATGAAGTGACTTGTTTTGAAGGAATAAATGGAGTGAAAACATTGTTGTTTGAGCATATTTTGGGGTGAGGGCAGAGGGCCAGTGAACAGCTGCTGCACTTAAGTTACATATTTATTATCAAAAACTCATAGACCACAGCTTGGGCTTGTCTGCCAGCCCGCCAAATCTCACTCTAGGTGGAGTCTTAATGGCTTTGCCAGGAGAAGCTGACATGTTTCTCCTTAACACCAGAAGGAGGGTGAAATTTCTCTACATTGACTAAATTTTCTGGCATGCAGTCAGCTCCTGAAAGTTGTAATTGGGTGTTTATTGACAAGTTGCCAAAGCTAAGTATTCCTTTCATTTGTAATAGACTGAGGTCTCTGTGGGCTTATATTTGTTTGAAAACCAAGACCTCTGGGAGAATAATTTCATTTTTGACAATGTCAACATTTAAACATTGAAACAACATTGTGATTTATCAAAGTTGGCTGTAGTTTAGGCTCTAAACTGAGCTACGTATCCTTTTCTTCTCACTGAAAAATAAATTTCAAAGGAACTCAGTTCAATTAAAAGTTGTAGAAATGAAACAATAATAATGTAATCAATTTATGCACCATGACAAAATACATCTTTTGAAGTCAGCACAAATCCAACATAAATCAAGCCAAACCACATATTACAAGAGGATTGTAAAGAGTCTCATGGGCTGTGTAATGGTAGCTATTGAACAATTTACCCGTAAAGCCGTGCTTCTCAAAGTGTGATCATCGTATTGCCTGAGTACTTGTTAGAAACGCAAATTCTCAGAAATTGAAGAAACTGATGTGGTCCAACAATGTTTTAACAAGCTCTCTAGGTGATTCTGATGCGCTTTGAGAACCACTGCTGTAAAGTTTAAATGAGTGTCAACTGAAAGACCTCCGATGGCTTATATCAATTCTGTGTCCTTGACTGCATGCAATTCATTTTCACCCACTACTTAAAGACTCCTGGTAGTGCAATGGTAAAGCGCTCAGCTGCTAACCGAAAGGTTGATGGTTCAAAACCCCTCAGAGGCTCCATGGGAGAAAGACCTGGTGATTTCCTTCATGAAAGGTTACCGCCAAGAAAACCGTATGAGGCAGGTTCTACTTTCACACGCAGTTGCTTTGAGTTGAAAATCAACTAGATGGCACCTAACAACTTAAATGCAGTTAATAAATTTACAGATAATGTAAATCCGGAGAAGACAGTTCAAATATCTCAATAGTCTGGAAAAAAAAGATCCTAAGATTCAATACTGGTAAATCTGAAGTCCTGCCCTTCAGTTCTGAAATGATCCATTGTGTGAGTCCAGCATGGGAGAAACCTGGCTTTATATATAGTTCATTTGCAAATATGTAGCAGTAGTACTTAATTATAATTTTGATTCTAACAGAGCAATATGACTTGGGGTGCAGACATCTTTAATAGTTAAACGATCTAGAAAAAAAGGCAGTAATGTCAGTGTACCCTACTTTAGTCACTTTGCGTTGTGGGTTTGAAAGTAGGTTTTACACATAAAACAATGAAAAACTAAGGTCTGACACCTGTCATGTGATAGCAAAGAAACAAGATATTTAGCTGGAGAAGGGATCTCAGGTTGGCATAATGGCTAAATTCAAATTTTTGAAAGTGTATGAAAGAGGGATTAGGTTTATTCTCTGAGGCTCTAAAGGAAAGAGTTCAGACTAATTAAGTGAATGAACATTGATAAAATTTACCTTAAAAACCTAACAAAAATGGAAATGGATGCTTTGATATTATCAAAAAGCCAGAGTGAGTACTGTGATGTAGTGTCCTGCATTGTGAGAAATTGGGCTAGAAGTCATTAGGCCCTGCTGTGGATTGAACTGTACCCTCTAAAATACGTGTTGGAGTCCTGACCCCTGTGCCTGTGGAAGTAATCCTATTTGGAATAGGGTTTTCTTTGTTATGTTAATGAGGCCATATCAGCGTACAGTGTATCCTGAATCTAATCACTTTGGAGTGATATAAAGAACAGCATAGGCAGACAAAAAAGCACAAACGGGAAGATAGATGCCACATGAAGATTGCCAAGGAACCAAGGACTGCCGGCTACTAGCAGTTGAAAAACACAAAGGACTTCCCCTAGAGCCCCACTCTAAATTCAGACTTCTAGCCTCCTGAACTGTGAGAAAATAAATTTCTATCCTTTAAAGCTGCCCACTTGTGATATTTCTGTTACAGCAGCACTAGGAGACTAAGACAGGCCCTCTAGCATCTTGAAGATTTTGTTTCAAATTCTAGTTTAAAAATTACTGGATAATTTATTTCTTTTATTATTATCATTATAATTGTGCTTTAAGTGAAAGGTTACAATTCAAGTCAGTTTCTTGTACAAAAATTTATAAACACATTGCTATGTGACCCTAGTTGCTCTCCCTATACTGCGACAGCACACTTCTTTCCACCCCAGATTTCCCGCGTCCATTCAACCAGCTCCTGTCCATCTCTCCATTCTCATCTCGCCTCCGGACAGGAGCTGCCCATTTAGCTTCATGTATCTACTTGAGCTAACAAGCACACTCCTCACGAGTATCACTTTATGGCCCACAGTCTGGTCTAATCTTTGTCCGAAGCGTTGGCCTTGTGAATGGTTTAACCCTGGGCCAACAGAGAGTCCGGGAGCCGTGTCTTCCGGGGTCCCTCCAGTCTCAGTCAAACCATCAAATCTGGTCTTTTTACTAGAATTTGAGATCTGCTCCTCACTTTTCCCCTGCTCCGTCAGGAACTCTCTGTTGTGTTCCCTGTCAGGGCAGTCATTGGTGGTAGCTGGGCACCATCTAGTTCTTCTGGTCTCAGGCTGATGGAGTCTCTGGTTTATGTGGCC